AAATTTGGTGACTTTTTGCAACTGGATATCAGAGCTTTTTGTATACGTACAGTACCTGCAATGAAGCGATTAAGGAAAGTGATTATGAGCTTGTTGCAGCAATCGTATTTGTGTATTGGTAAATAAATATGTTGGTTGTCTTTATATTTTGTGTAGTCAGTGTGCTGTAATGAACAAACTGGTTATGTGGCCCTCACTTGCCATTCTCTCAGTTATCTGGCCCACTGTGAAAAAAGTTTGGTGATCTCTGGTCTATAACAATGTCCAATCCATTTGGAGCTTTGAAATTGCCCTTATGCATTTTTTTTACAGCAGTGTCCTTTGCAATTTGTGTTGTTTTTATATATATATACAGTCGACCCCCCTATAAGATAGAGATATGTTCCATTCTTTAGGAATCCGATTTCTTACGAATCCTTCCAATCACAACCCGACACGTATCAAGTTTACGGACTACGGCTGTTTGAAAGATTTTCTTCCATAAAATTAATTGATTCTAGACTAATCCGACTCAACATTTCCAAAATACGTATATTTTTTTTGGGAATAATCCATATAAACTACGCTATAAACAAAAAATTGTAGGATTACTTACCAAGTGTCACCATTTGACATCGCCATTGCTCAACATTGTTTTCGTCGCGGAACAGCTCAGCAAACCGCGGCCGATTTCTAATAACTTATTTTTCTGCGAATAGTTCCTTGAACTTCGGAGACATCATTAATATAAATAATTTTAATCACCGTTGAATAAGAAATGTTTCTTTCACAAGAAATGTATAAAATTACAGTACTGTATTAGACTTACGATACCTAATTTACATACTCTACAGACGATAGTTAGCGTAAAAATCTCCGTAGCGTGGTACCACGCTAGACGGCGGAAATTATATATTTAATTATAACAAAGTTACAATAAGTTAATATATAATTATATATACAGTACCTAATTTATATATAATTTATATAATACTGTCCAGATGATAGAAATCTCTCCGTAGTTGGCGCTACGGACGGCGGGAAAGTAGTTCGGCTGCCCGATGACGTTTGAGGTAATTATAGGGAATTTTTACTGTTTTTTACGGATACTGGTCACAATTTTTTCGTAGTTTTATAGGAATCGTAATTATAGGGACCGTAATTATAGGGAGGTCGACTGTATATATATATCTATGGCTGATGTTCACTTCTAAAGGACAAACATTTTGTATGACTAGTATGATTTTAGCAAAATGATGAGATGTTTTGAACTATTCTCCAAATTTTTGTAATGACTGTCCAACTTTTCTAACCAGCTCTCTTTCTAATGAATTTCTTTTTTTGCTATCTTTCATTTTAATTCTCTTTTACCATTCCCTAGACATCTAGCAAGTCTTGACCGACTGCTTTTCAGCCTTTCTGTGATGCTGTAAACCACCCTTCTTGCCATTCCATATCTATAAAATGCTTAACTGTAAAGCTTCTCCTTTCTTCTCTTGTTTGTAAAATTTGTCAACTACAAATTTTTGCTCTTCATTAGGGTGCTCCATTTTGTTTACATTTGGAATATTGTTGTCATGACGACATAAATTTAAATCTACAGTCTAAGCAACACATTCTCAACTTTTTAAAAAAATATATCAAATATGCTTGCCAAAATTGTGCAGATATTTATTTACCCGTCTACTGTGTATATTGAAATTAGAAAAAAATAATCAGGAAAATACTGAATGAAAACTAAACATTTATATATTTTGAAGAAAATGAAAAGTAAATTTTTAATTTTTATTAAATTATTTTATTAATTTTCATTTTTATATATATAATATTTTTTAAAAAAATTAAAAAATCAATTTTCATTTTTAAAATAACAAACATAATCATTATCATTTTTATTTAAGTGTGTTTTATTATATTTCTGTAGTATATAAATGATGTGATAAAAATAATGTAATGATTAGTAAAATATAACAAGAATAGAAGTTATTAATTTTTTTTCTAATTACTTGGCTTGAATAATTTAGTATCAATTCAGAAATAGCTGTTACCTGTGCATTGTTTCTTTTGTTTATTTTATTTTAAATAAATGAAAATAATCCAAATTTGAATTGCGTAGAAACATAAAATAAATTTAATCAAATACAAGAAACATATTTCTGATTTGATATCTCAATAAAATCAATATTTACAAAAATATATTTAAAAATTCCTTTATCAAGAGAACTTTTATATTAATATAGTCTAAGATATAAAAATAAATTAAAAAAAGGGAAACATTGGAACATTATTTTTTGTCTTGTTGTATTTTAATCAAATATTAATATAGAAGTAAATCCATATAACTCATTATTGATAAAAGTGTATTGTAAATAAAAAATGTGATTATCTTTGTTTAATTCCTTTTTAAGTTGATCAATATGTTTTAATCTTCTCATATAATGTGGTAACATTGCAAAGTGATTTCTGAAAAATATTTTAAAACACTTTGCAAAATTTGACTAAAACATTTCATTTTTGATTATAATGGAAATGTACAGGGGACAGTCAAAATATCATGCATTGGTTCTTTATTAAGTTTACAATTGTTTGGAGATGGTATTAGTTCTCCTTTTTACTCCCGAGCACTTTTTATGGTTTTTCTTCTCTTTTTTTGCATTTTAATTGGATATTTTGTGTATTTTTCTATTTCTGTTCATAAATCTGAAATGAAATTTTTAATTAATAGTTTTTTTGATATTTTGATATTTAAATGATGTAAAATAATAAAGACAATTCCATTGTTTATAAGGTGAGGAAGGATTTGATGATGACATGACAGGTTTTTTTTTAAATGCAAAGATACTAAAGTCAAACTGAAGAAGTTAGTAAATAATTTTAAGGATACAGGAATTACAACAGATGATAGTATTTTTGAGATGTAAATTGTATGATGTTACCATAAATTCATTGAGAAGCATTTCTCTTTACAAATTAAGCAGCATATCAAATATGCAGAACACATTTCCAACAGGAAAAGAAATGAAAATAAAGCTCTCTCTCTCTTTTTATTTTTCTATCATTAAAAGATAATGGAAGAAGAATAAATTTTCATGTAAACTAGCTACAGTTTTAATACAGGCAAGGATTATTCTTAACAAAGTAAATCATTCTATATTCAAAAACTTTTTTGAAAAGTATACAAAACAGTCAAACCCTAATCAAAGCATGCTAAAGGAGAATCTATGTGCAGCCTGCCTATGAAGAAACTTTCAGAAACATATGGGAAATAGTAGAAAACAACTTTTTTTTATTTTGGATGAAACAGTGGATATGCTAAAAGGTATGTGCTGAACATTGTCTTCTGTTAACAGGAGAGCCAGTACAACCTATGCTGTTAAGAGTTTACAAATTCCATAACTGTTATCCAGGCCATCAATAATGCATGAGTCAAATGTTGTTTTGTAAGAAAAAGTTTTGGTTACTTCTAACAGACCAGGCACCATATATACTAAGTGTGTGCTCAAATATAGTGTCTCAGATTTGGATAAATCAACACCATTGTCTTAACAGGATATGTGAAGCAATTAGGGCAAAATTTTCTTCAGTTAAGAGCTTCATTCTGGAATTGAAAAAAGGCTTTGATTAAAGTTCTATGAATTTTCATTTATATAAAGAATACAATTTATATAAACTATCTTGTCACTCTAAAACACCCTGTTATAACTACATGGGGCACATGGATTCAAGTGTTTGTTTTTATGCTTAAAATTTTTCATCCATGGGAGCATTCATTGAGAAACTAGATGAAAAGTCTTCAGTGGCCACAATAAAACTCAAACCTGTTGAAACAAGAAGCTGTGTTACAGGAACTGTTCATTCATACAAGTTTCTGTGTGGTTCAGTTTCTAAGGTTGAGGAAAGTTGTCTGTCTAGTGAGACAAAGTGAGAGATTTTTAAACATGCCAAAAAGCAGTTGGGTGGATTTGCTTCAGAAAAATTGGAATACTTCCTGAGCAAAAATTCAACTATTCAAAATGTAATTTATGAGTTTTTTCATTCACAAAATTTGGAGTTTTAGTGAAAACTAAATATGCTCCTCTCACATTTGTTGATGATGAGAGATCAACTTTGCAGTTCAAAGATATACATTCTTCGTGCCATCAGTGGCTGGATATGAAGAATATAGAATGACTGTGTTTGTAAGTACAAAGCTTTTCTGTTTGTAAGCTACAAAACTGATGGACAGATTCTGAAAGTGATTGATTTGAATTTTCTATAATTTTCTCAAGTTTTTAAGTGTTTTATGTATACTTTTAATAGATGTAAAATAAAAAATGAAATTTATAAAAAAATATTTAAAATAAATCTGTCAAAAAAGGGTCAAATTTAATTGTTTTTCTCTTTCACTATCATTAAAAATATATTAGTATTTTCTAATTAATATCAATTATACAATAAGATATTTTACTGAATTTTATTTATATTCAATTTTGACATATTCTTTTAGACAACGTAATTCAAGAATTAACACACAAGTTAAAATTTGTTTAAACAGAACAAAAGTGTTTACGGAACTATTTGGCTCCATCTCCATTCCACTCCACTCCATATCTGTCTCCAGATGGAACTCGAAATGAACAGTGTGAATATTAAGGTTTTTCTTACAATATCACCCATATTTTAATATTTGTGTATGTATTAACTACAATAATGCCCTTAATGGTTGTACACAGGTATATTATCACAGTGCAGTAGAACTTAAACTGTTCTTTAAATTCTATCTGAAACTGGAGCCAAGTAGTTCTGTAACATATGTTTTCAATAAATTTTAACTTCTAAAGTTAGCTATGTTATTCCCCAGATTATTTTTGTGTATGTGATTTCAAGTAAAATATATTTTGACAGTTTAGTGATTTTTATGTTTAAATATGATATTAAAAATAGATGTAAAAGAATGTTTTAGATTATATTTAAATTTAAAATTTATGATTTTTTCTATTAAAATATTTTTTATGTTCATTACATTACATATTATTTTTCAGGTATTGATAGAAACATTGGTTCAATTGGGAGCATCTGTCCGATGGGCTGCTTGTAATATTTATTCAACTCAGGTAAATATAAAATTTATTTTTCAAAAGAATTGTTTATTTAAATTTTATATATTTTTGTGGTTATGTATTTGATAATCTTAATTATTCAATTAAATTATTTTTTTAATAAGGTGTAAGCCAAATGGCTCATATCCAAAGAAGGAAAAATGATAAATGTATCAAATTTTAAAATAGATTATCAAATAATTATACTTGACATTAGGAAATTAGTACATTTCATTAATCAATTTCTTTTTTCTTTGCTTTTCTTTTTAATTTCTACAACTATAATAGAATGCAAGTATCTTGTCTTATTTATGCCTTGTGATATTAAAATAAAAATAAAATTAATGAAAATTGAAAAAGAAAATTAATATTTTCTGGATCTGAATCTTCACTCTTACCATGACTGTCTTGATTTGCCTTTTTCTGATAACTTATGTGATAATAGCTCAAATTTTAAACAATATCTTGAAAACTAAGGCCTGCTGGATGAAACATTAAAACATGGATGTGCATTCACAATGTTAAGGCTCATCAAAATCCATGATCATGTCCTCCCCAGCAAAGATATTAAAGAAATTGATTTCTGTAATAATTTATTTAAAATTATGCAGTTATTCAGCATTTTATGTATTATTGAGTTACATTTTGTTTCTATAAGACAGAGAATATAAAATTATCATAGAATTCAGATAGAATTATTTTGAATTATTTTATTTATTTTTAATTTCATTCTTTATAAATTTATAATTTATGTAAATACATCTTTACACAAGCAATATTTTATTTTATTTTAGAACAAATATTGCTTAAAATTAATTTATAACATCTTAAAATATTTTTGTTGTTGTTTTAGCTTTCTATTTAATAAATGCATTTTTAAAAAATGTACATAATCCAAACATTAAAAAAATATATATATAATTTATATTTAATTATAGATTATTTTTAAAATAATTATTTATGTGTAATATATGATAGTTACTTTAACCATAGAATGAAGTTGCCGCTGCTCTCGCTGAAGCCGGTGAGTAATTTATAAAATGAAATTAATAAATACACTTTATTTATATAAGTTATCATTGCTACGACAATATTTTTGTTACAAAGACTTAATTGTTTAATATCATGTTTGATATATATAATGAGTCAGCTTTTTTCTTATGAATGAATTTTATTTGTATAAAAATACAAGTTATCTTAACACAGAAATAGAATGTGTTTAGATAAGTATAAAAATTTTTCTGTAAATAGATGGATTTTTGTATAAAGAAGGTATTGTTATAATAGCAATGGTATATACTTATATCTCTAGTTATTTTAAATTAAGTAAGATGTGATAGTAGTTCAAAAATATTACTAAATTTTATTTATAAACTCTATAAATAATTAGCTGTACAGGGTGATTCACTGGTGGTGTTCAGTAGTTTTTCTCGGAAATGCATTAGGCTGCAATTTGAAAAAATAATAGACCTATAAATTCTCGCTGTTATCTGTCTGTCTCTCTGTCCTTAATCTCAAGAATAGAGTTAGGTAGATGAAAGTTGAGACCAGATATGGAAACCTTAGAGGCAGGAGGCCCTGATGAACTATATACGAACTTCTGATTCAAACCGGAATTCACATTATTTCAATTCAAAACTTTTCCCCTGAAAGCAGTAAATAGAAGACTGGCACAACTTTATTGTTAAAGGAAAAGTATGATGTACAGGGGCAAGCAGTTACTAATTTGAGATGGAAAACATATATTTTAAATAAATTAAAAAAGAACATACAGCCTGGTATTGTGACATTGTCACAATAAATAATAGCTTGTTAGAGATAGGAAGATGGTACATCTTCCTATCTCTAACAAGCTATTATTTATTAATAACCAAGCATATAGAGAGGGACAGACAGTTTTGGTGACCTTGGGTGACCTTGAAAATTGCTGCTGGTTGAGATAGAATAAAATGATATTTTTAAATTATAAGTGGCACCTTTCAGTCATTACATGGATAATATTTGACAAAATAAACACCTTTTATAAGAAGTCACATTTTTTTTAATCCTAATGATTTTCAACATATCAGCCAATTTTTTTTCTAAAAATCTGATTTCTCTTTTTGTTGAAAGTTTGTCCTGAGAACTAAGTTTATCAGTTTATTTATGAAAAAGCTTCGCATGACAAACATGATAGTAATGAAAATGCATTTCAAAATTTACTTAGATTAGTGCACTTTCTTGCATATATGTAGGGATTTATTCTTCTAGGAAAGGCATTCATTGCATTTTGTAATTTACATCTACTAATCTTGTGAAAACTTTCCCAAATTCTGATTTTCATGTTTTTTGTAGAAGGACACTGAAAGTAAACCGTTTCCTTAATTGATCTCCATGAAGACTGGTATTAAAATTTGCAGCCTGTGAATATAGTGACATGCACCTAAAGCTATCAGTGTATCAAATGAATCTTCATTTGAATAACTCATTGTTGTGAAAATAGAGGAAACAAGTAAATGAAAAAGATCACTCCAAAAAAGACACTCCTTTATGCTTTGAAAAAGTAACAATTCAATTTATTCAAAGCCTACTTGTTCAACTATCTGATAAGATAAAATAAAGAATGAAAACTGATATAAACTTAAACCTAACTTTCACAGCATAGAAACTTTCAGGAAAAAAAGAGCTCAGATTTTTGAAAAAAACTGGCTGATATCTTAAATCATTAAGTTTAAGAAAATGTGATCTATTATAAAAGGTGTTTATTTTGTTGTGTACTATCCAAATAAACTTGCTTTTAGTCCAGTCTTTTTATCTCTAATGGTTTCTAATAAAAACTACTTAATGCTACCAGTTAATCACACTTTACACACACTTTATTATATATATTTATTAGATATGTTTTTAATTAATCATTCAGTTTATAAAATATAGATTACAAAGATATTTTCATATTTCACAGTGAACAATAAAATTAAATTTTTTTCTGCCCTGTGGGTGCTTAAAGGATGAGATATTCTTAAGCAATTCCATAAAAGAATATTGAATTGTTTATGAATCAATGAAGACAAACATTTAATTTAGAAGATGGAAAGATATAATGAATAAGAAATGCTAATAGTGCCAATTTATAATAGTTAGTAGAAAAAGTTATGAAATAAAATGATTGAATTTGTGTGTCATTATACAGAATTGCCTAAGGGAAATATGAAAAATCTTTATTATATACAAAATTTGTTAAAAGTAAAAGGAGATTATAAATTATATAAACATGTATTCCTTATATATATATATATATATATATTACACGTTCTGTTAGACTTTACATTTTAAAATGCATATTTAAGAAAAACTACATCATTATAACATTATGTATTCCTATATATATATAGGAATACATAAATATGCATTTTAAAATGTAAAGTCTAACAGAACGTGTAATATTTTTTATTGAATTTAAGGAAAAAATATTACAATTGAATAATAGGTGTTGTACTCATATATTTGTGTTGGGAAGTGGTCAGTAATCGTCATCTGTATTTTTTCTCCATCAAAAGTTATTTTACTTTTAACAACCAATTCTAACTTTGTTTAAATAATCAAAAACTTCATCTGGAAGCCATTTCTTGCAGTTTTGAGCTTATTAAAAAACTCGTTATTTTGGAACATTTCTCAGATACAGATGTTTTGATCCTAATAGAAATACAATACAGTAGATATATTGCATTATATTTGTAATGGCCATCAAGACTTGTGGATATGAGCTTGCATTATAACATCTATCAATATAAAAAATAAAAATTTTTTACCTTAACTGAAAATTTTATAGCATATAAACTTTGTTAAGTAGAAAATTTTTAATGTAAAAGACATATTTTTAAATTTCATGAAAAAGTCTGTTGGAAAAAGGAATTCATAATGTGGAATATNAGTGGTGTTGTTTTTTACAAATCGAATATATATATATATATATACACACAGTATAAATTGAAACGAATAATGCAAGGGCACCTAGTGTTTATTGCATCTCTCTACAGGATGACAGGTTCGACAGAACACTAATGTACATTGGGTTGGCATGCAGATCATTACAAGCCTGGTTACGAGATCACAAGTATGATGTGACAAAAGGTAACATCAATACAGCCCTGGCCCAATATGCCACTGAACTGGGAATTTCCCCCATATGGGAGGAAGCTACCTTATTACACAGGGTATTTGACAAACAGCACATAAGAACATTAGAGGCCGTAGAAATCTACAGGGCTGACATAACAGGAGAGTGCATGAATATGGACTATATTCCCATATTTAATGCATGGAAGTATTATTTAGACTCTTAAAGGAGTATACATTGCGTAATATATGTGACAACCATTGGTCAAATTGAATTTAAAATATTTTAAAAATTACATATACAGCGTGGCAACATTCTATAAATAGAGCAGTTATTTTTGTTTCGACTTTTCCTGATGAAAGCAATTAAAGAGTGGCCAAAAACCTTTGAATGTTGAAATTGAGTATTTTGCTGAAAATTTGATGTTTAAGTGAGAATTTATATTCAATTTGTGGATAGTATCAAATATCATAATGTAGAACTTTCTAATATCAAACTTTGGCTGTATATGAAATGGTAGATTTAACTAATTTATGAAAATGAACAACTTAACGCTACACGAATATTATATTAATCTATAGCTATTAGAAATCATTTTAATATAAGTAAAGACAAAATATATTTATTACAGTTGCATTTCTTTGATGATTATCACAGTCATGTCTGTTAGTAGCTTTTTATTCATTCTTTGATACCAATTTTAACTAGATAATATCCAATGACATCAAGTTACTTATGCAAGCAATTAAGTTATAAATACATATCTTATTATGAACCATTATGCAATCAAATATACACATGACAATTCTATTGTGTTGTAACAAAAGTACAGATTTTTTTCATTAAAGGTGAATAATCTTATTAAATTAATTTATAATGGCTAATATGAACAAACAATGGAATAAAAATTTAAACACTTACATATGTAAGTTAAATAATTAACCATTATTAATAAATAAAACAAACCAATTTTTTTGTACCTTCGTTTATGAATAAAACATTTATCAATATAAATGTTATTGCAGTTGTCTGGCTAACAACCATCACAAGTTAATAGTACTTGCTTGTGGTTTATGTAAACTTATAGTTGGACAGATGTTTATTAACTAGGAGCACCATTACATTTATTTTAAATATAAACACCCACATCAAACTGGATACATAGCAATAACCCTCCAACTGCTGTAATTTATTTTAGAATGAATAATAAAGAGATTACAAATTTGTATAAAATGGAGATGTCTATCTGAATTTGATTAATGTTAAACTAAAAACCACAGCTGAATATAATAAACTGTACAGAAAACAATTGTATAAATTTAAGGAAACAAAGAAAAATAAATCCTGTAATATATTCATATCAAGTTTCAATACAGCTAATTAATTACAGTCGATTCCCTATAACGCGGTATATACGTTCCACTTTATAAGAATTTCATGTTGTAGGAATCTTTAAATAATGAGCCAATCACAGCCCAGCACATGTGCAGTTTACAGACTACAGCTGTTTGAAAGGTTTTCTTCCATAAAATTAATCAACTCTAGACTAATTTGACTCAACATTTCCAAAACACGTATAATTTTTTAAGAATAATCCGTATAAACTATGCTATAAACAAAAAATCGTAGGATTACTTACCGAGTGTGCACCATTCGATGATACCATTGCTTAAGCTTGTTTTTGTTGCAGAGCAGCGCACCAAATGGCAGGCGTGTTTTCTGATAAGTTATTTTTCTGTGAAAAATTCATTGGACTTTGGAAACATCATTAATAGAAATAATTTTTATGGCCATTGAATAAGAAATGTTTTTTTCACAAGAAATGTATAAAATTACAGTACTGTATTAGACTTACAGTACCTAATTTATATACTGTACAGATGATAGTAAACTCAACTTACCCGCCTAAACTCTCTGTAGCATGTAAGTAGTTCGGCTGCTCGTCCACTATTGGTCCAGATTCAACCAATCCTGTGCAGGAGTTGGCGATGACGTTTTACCACATTTTACAATCTTTTTTAGCGTCTTTATACGAATATGGGCGCAATTTTTTCACCGCGATATACAAATCTGCACTATATGAACCTGTGTTATAGGGGGGTTGACTGTATTAAGATACTAAGCAATTTTGACTTGAGATGGACAGTTAAGATGTCGTTTGTATTAAATTTAATCATTAGAAATAAATTAATTTAGAATATTTAGAAGAAAGCTCAAAAAGAATCTAACAACATCATTTGATTAAAAACATATTGGGCTTGATTTTATACACCAACCAATGCCAAATATTATTTAATTAAAATTTATTATTATTAAATTTATCAAGAGATGGCACCTAACGCCTAACTCTAGTGCTAAATTTTCTTATAAATTATTAATATTATAGCCATTTCTAGCCCGATAATATTCGGCATTGGTTGGTATATAGCTTTATATATCAGGTTTAGTGATGACGTTTGTTTATTTGATGTTATATCTGTAATGTAATTATAAGCGTTATGTAGAATAGTTAGAATTAAATAGACTTCATAAGTTGACATAACATCATCATGTATAGGTTATGCTAAAATTAAAATATATTTGTTGTTATTTTTATATTTTTTAATTTAAATAAACTAATGTAACAACATTAAAAACACTTTATGTAGACAAAAAGTCTCAAAGAAAGACTTTTTTAATAATTTTAGATTAATATTAATAACTTGGATTGTTTTAACAATAAAGAATATATTTATGGAAGCAGATGAATAACATTAATATTGTTATTTTAAATTGATGGGAAGAATTATTGACTGATCACTTCACTATTAAATTATTATGTCTATACATTCTAGGTTTGATATTAAATTTTGTAATATAAAAATAACAATTTTAGCCTCGAACAAAAAACTATTTAGACATATAAACAAATAAATATCTTTATATATTAGATGCTATTAGTAAAATGAGATTGTTTTTCTCTTTAATAATTTTGAAACTAACACTTCAAAGTGTTACTTTCAAAACTATTTAGAAAATTAGAATAAAATAAGAAATAAGCTTATCTTTTGAATTACATTTTGTAAATTATACAAATAATTTAAAGTTACATATATTCATATTTGTGATTAGTTGGTAAAAAATAAACTAAGATTAATTTTAGAATTAGCATATTTAAAACAAAAGTTATTTTATATGTATTAAATCATTACTCTGTAATTCAATGTATAATACAAATTAAAACATAAAATTTACAGTATATCAGTTAAAAAAATAAGAATCTAATAGTAAATATTTTTGATAGATGACATAATCATGAAAGTATTAAACTTGGCACCCACAATAGTAATAAATCAAAAATCAAAACTGCTTGCTGTGGTAAATAAGAAAAAGTGAGGTCAAAAATGTTTCGAAATAAATATTTTTAGTTTCCTAAAGTACGATGACACAAGTCAGAAAACCAAACATCAAGAATTGGATCAACTATAGTTCTTATAAACAAAAATCTATAAATATTTTATAAATATAATTCCTAGATTTTTGATTAAAAATTTTAGTTATTGATTTTAGTATTATTAATTAAAGCTTATTTTTCATAAATAAATTTGTTCAATATTTGTGCAAAATTATCAGAATAGAATATCACCTGACTGTAAAACATTTCACAAAAATTTAAATATAACATATTTAGATTTTAAGCGATTCACTGGTTTGATCTTTACTTTAAATATACAGTGATTGTTGTATTCATTAACCTTAATTTGTTACAAGAAAGATATTGATTTAGATTCAGCTTAAGCTATTTTTGCATAAATTTATAAATTCTTTATTGAATTTATCATGTAAAATTTACTAATTTAAAATTTATTATAACTAATAACTACCTAAGACAAATTTTGTTATTATAGAACTTAATTCTTCTGTATTTTCTGTATTAAATATGTGTATATAAATTATAATATATAATAACTTAGAATTATTATTAAGTGTTGGATAATGCATGATTAAGAATGGAAACTTTGATGGAGATTTAATTAAGAATTTTCCTGAAAAATTCTTAATTAATTCTTAATTCTTAAGGGGTTAAACAATATTGAATAACATCAAAGAAAGAATTATCTTGGACATTTATTAATATAAAATGATTAGTTTTGGAAAACATATTTAATCAACTTATTTAATTCTGTAGGAATATCAGTATTTGCATGGAAAGGGGAATCAGAAGAAGATTTTTGGTGGTGTATTGATTCCTGCGTGCACTCTGATAATTGGCAACCAAATATGGTATGAGATAAAATATATTTATAACTTGTAAGTTTTGTATAATGTAAGCTGTTATAAATTGAATTTATGTTTCACTTTTGGCTTCTGATCATTCGTCTATTCCAGAACAAATATTATCTTGTTTAAATTGTGTCAACTCTCTTAATATCAGCAGGAATATATATACCTTTTTTGTTGTAAATGTTTCCTGAGAATATAGTAACTGTTAAGCTAAGGCTTATTTCATTTTATCTTTGTTATATTCCATTATTGTTTTTTTTTTAGTTTTTTTCTAATAGTAAAACATTCTAGTATTCTTTTAATTAATTTTATACGAAATTATTCTTTTCTTGAATATATATTATACAAAGTTTTAAATGCTCAGTAACTCATTAGGTAATTTCTTCTAATTTGATAAAATGGTATACATTCTTATGGTAAATGATTGCTAATTTACATCAAAAATGTTTTGGAAAAAAGAAATTTTTAAACTTTTAAAATGTTTATTTCTATAAATTGTTGTAATGTGCCATTATTCAATAATTAAAAATATCTTAAGCAAATTAATTCTTCCTTAAAATCTTTCTAACATCTTACACTTTGCTTTTGTTATAATTAATTCTATTATATTCTATTAAAATATTTAATTTTATAATTGTATTATCTTAATTCTAAATTTAGATTTAGAATTAAGGAAATTAAAATTAGTATAATTAAATAATACACTAAATTTAAACATATTTAACTAACTATTAATAAAATTACAATTCAAAATATCTCAATTGACAAGATTTTATCTTTGGTTCACGTAAATTCACTTTAATCAACTCTAGCAATAATATAATCAGTTAATTTTGAACAGATATGACTAAATTATTTAATTTAAATCATATCTAATTAAATTTCTCAAGAGTTGATGACATGCTTGTAATAATAACTGACTTATATAATTATTAAATAACTTATTTATCTAATTTTGTCTACATTATTTGCAGCTACTTTACTAGAAATTCTATTACTTCTCTGTTTGGCTTACATATTATCAGGTTCGCAAAAGTGATGAAAGATATTCATGCACATTGTTATTATCACAGCTTATTATTGGTACTGCATACACAAAGTATCATTTTCATGAGGGTAAATTTAAACCGCTATATATTTATAAAGAAAACATAAGTAGTTTTGTATAAATTTATTTTAAAAATAAAATATAATTACAGATTTTTTTAAAATTATAATGGAGTCACAGTTCTGTTTCCTTTTGAAATTTTGAACATTTAAAAAATTTCTCTTTCTTCGTTTTATTGCAGTAGGAGTAATCAGATAGATCAGTAATAAATGAAACGATCACTGTAATTAATCGGGTTAATTAAGTGCTATTATTAATGATTAACTTTTAGTAAGTGTTGGAGGTAATTTTTAGGTGCAATCTCTTATTAAATGTAATAATTATAATATTTACTAATTAATTTACAATATTCTGGAAGAAAAGAATCAGCCCAGACTCCTGCAACTCCTGCCTGCTTTGCAGATGTGTTGCCAATTTCATTACCTGGATCTCCATTTGATTCTTTTCTTTCAGAACATTCAAAATTAATTAGAAAATATAATTATAAAATTCAACAAGAGAGTGCACCTCTAGTACCAAATTACTTAATAGCTAATCATTAATAATAACATTTAATTAGCCCAATTAATTATGACAGTTGTTTGGTTTATTATTAATATATCAGACTAAGTGATGTTTATAGATTGGATAGATCACTAATTGCAATTTCTTTCTTCCTTTCTTATCATTAGTTTACACTCTAAATTGCTTGGAATTTGACTTCTCTTTGGTGCAAATCTTGCCCTAACATCATTATTTTTTTCTTGGTTTTTCTTTTGTCACTTTTCCATAACTTTCCTCTCGTAAGCCTGTCTTGGAAGTCTCTTTTCTTCCATCCTGTTTACATGTTCAAACCACCAATAGTACTCTACTAATTTATTTTAGCAAACTTCATTTCCATTGTCTTCATACTTATTTCACTTTCAGTCAGTGTCTATGTCCACTGTAAATTTAATACTGCATAATTCAGTTTGAATTTTTAACTGTTTTTTTACCAAAATATTTAAAAATTGTGTTCAGTATTCAAATACATCTTTATAATAATGTTTTATTATTGAGAAATAAATTATATAATCATTTATATAAAAAAGATATCTCTGGTTAGCAGAAATATAATATTAATATTGCCTTCTTATATTAAACATTTCATTTTGTCTACAAAAATTCTTAAAATCTAAATTTCATTTTTAATTAGAATTGTATTTTTTTTAAATACATTTGTAGTTAAAATTTAGATTTTTTTTTTTGTAATTACTATAACAAATGTTTAGAGTACATCCAGCAATGTAGAGTGGGATTCATCTTGGTATGCACTTCCAGCTCACGAGCAACTTGTCTGGAGTGGACACATGTTATTTACAAAATGGCAACAAGACTACCTTGTTGAATGCTTGCCATGGAAACACAGTTTTCTGTATTTTATTACTGAAAGTTCTTGTAAGCAAAAGACTAATGATATTTATAAGAAATAATGAGCTCAGTGAATTTCACCATTTGTACCATATCATGATATTAAAAGACAATCCAGCTTTTCTTCTTTTTTGGAAGTGCAAGGAGTGGAAGCAGTGATCAAACTTGTTTGTAGTTGCTTTCTGCATGCATGTGTAGAAGCAAGTAACCATGAGTTTGGAGTAATCATGTATAGTGTGTAGCAACTTGGTGGTTGCTACATTCTTACACGGTTACTCCAGACATGCACATTTGCTCATATTGGTTTGTCTGTTCCACTTAGTACTGTGTTTGCTGCTGCTGTTGGATGCTCCATATAGGATATAGCCTTATACTTCACACAGTGAAAGAATGGGCATGAGTCAGCCTGAACTGGAAGTATCTGTCGGATGAAAGGGATGGAAGGAGACTTATGGCTACTCCCTTGGGAGTTGAGACATAGATCTGGTTTCTTTCAGCTGTTTTGTTTTTTACATTTCTAAAACATTTTTATACCATCTTTATCATAATTTTATTGTTTTAGTTTATAAAAACAAAGTTTATTACTTACTCTTAATTCTATTATTACTCACACATTAATCACATCTCTCCTTTCATCTGACATAGACCCTTCCAGCTCAGGCTGACTCATATGTCAGATGAAAGGGATGGAATGACACATGGATTTGATTCAGCTGTTTTGTTTTTTACATTTCTAAAACATTTTTATACCATTTTATCATAATTTTATTGTTTTATGTGTTTTTACAAGTTTATTACTTTTAATTCTAGCATTACTCACATGTTAAACACAAGTCTCCTTTCATCTGAGATACATCCAGCTCAGACTGACTAGTGTCTGCTCTTTTGCTGCACAACACAGACTATAGTAATTTTAATTCTTGAGGATGGATTCTTTAAAATTAGATAAATTTTTATAATTTATACATAGTTCAATCAATTTCTTTGAAAAAAATCATTTATTATTGCAAAAAGGAGGAAAACTAAAAAGGAAATATAAATTATTTTTTTGTAAATTTGCTGTAACATTTTATTTTCTAAAAAATAACAATATAGAGAAGTTTTTACATTTGTTTGTATATATATATATATATATATTGATAATTGTGACCAAGGACAAAATAATTAAATTCTATTATTTGTTATTTTATTGTCTTTCATATCTGCGATTGTTCAATATTAGCTTCATATATCTGTCATAATTGTCTGCTATTGAAATCATTAAAAAAAAGTTAAAAAAGTTTTTTAAAATGTTTAATTTAACTTTACATTATATTATTCAATAACTATAGTTTATTAATTATATTCATTGAATAGTACATAGAAAAAAAAATATATTGGTATTTATGTAACTGATTTTTAATATTAAACTTTCACCACAATCTTAGATTTTGGACGATGGCGGCGATGCAACTCATCTGATGTTGAAAAAATATCCAGCAGTTTTCAAGACAATCAAAGGAATAGTAGAAGAAAGTGTGACAGGCGTTCATCGTCTATACCAGCTTTCTAAAGCTAACAAATTGACTGTACCAGCTATGAATGTGAATGATTCTGTCACAAAGGTGAGACAAAGTTGAAAGTATTTTGATAAAGTAGTTTTTATCTTATTTATCAAAATAATTTAAAATGTAATTATTTCAACTAGAAACATATCACTTCAAACAGCCTACTTTATTAGAGAACCGCAAACTTCTTTCTTAGGGTGGATGCACACGTGCGGTGTGGCAATGAAAAGTGGTGATGCAAATGCATTTTCGCTGCATGGCAGTATACCACACAAGTGCAATCTGCTGTAGATTTTGCACATGCATACAGTATTCAAGATGGCAAACAATACCAACACTGTTGTTATCCATGTGTTTATAAATTTCATTTTGTATGGCTCACTTTATTTAGCTAGAAGATTTTGTCGAAGATTCAAACAAAGATTTTGGATTACAGATAGTTTCTTAGATCGAGAAAGAACTGATGAACAAAATATGCCTATTTCTCGATTAAGATCTCTCGATTTATGTTCCTTTCCTCTTTATACTAATGTCAGTTATTTCAGTTAACTGCATTGAACTTTCTGCCATTAAAACAACATGTGATTCTATGTTGACTGAGAAACAAACTGTTATTGGCTGACTGATAGAAACACATCTCAGCAGCAGCCATCACAAAAGATAGAATTTAACCAACTTATGCAGCATGAGAAAAGTGGCACAAAATCGACTTTTGTGACGAAAAAAGTGACATCATTCTGCCGTGCTGCATACGTGCATACACCCTTACATTTATTTCCAAACATATTTCTTACATTTTATCTCAACTTCTTTTGAAGTGCAAAACCTGTTATCATTGTTAGGGTTTTGAGATTCAAGAAAAAATGTAGATGATAAATAATATTCTTATGTCTTTTATGTTTTTCTAAGTATGCGTTTTCCCTAAAGATGGATTTTGTGACTCAGAAGAACTTGGGATAGAACATAAAGAATATGTTTTGTAAGTTTGTGTACTCGAATAAAGTAGACTTTTTGAACTGATAATTTAAAACAAACAATAAAATTTATGTACTGCTGATTTTTCACTGTATAAAATGTTGTAGGTGAAGAGTCAGTTATTTAATTAGTTCACAAAACATACTTTATTTTTGTTAATTTTCATTTAAATTTTGAAAATTAATTTTTAAAATGTTGTATGAATATTAATAAATGATATTAATCAATATGTGATATTAATAATATATTAAATCAGTGTTACCTTTTTATTATTAACATTAATAATCAAAAAATGATTAAAAAATAATTACAATGAAAATAAATCATAAAATTAATTTTTATAGAAATACAATAATAAATCCTCAGCCTACCAAATGAATATTTTCTTAAACTAAAATAAAAATCTACTGGAATGTGAATAACTAAAATAAATCCCACCTTTATCTATCCAGCAGTAAATATTTAATAACTTAAAAACATTTTTGACCATTTTTAACGGTCTTCATTAGTTAATTGAACATTAAAAAAGAACATTAAAATAGAATGTATGGAATAAATATGAAAAATCAAAACAGGAATTGCACATGTGTAAATACAAAATAAAATGCGCATGAGGATTACTTATAAATACAGTCGACCCCCTATAATTACGATTCCTATAAAACTGAGAAAAAATTGTGACGGTATCCATAAAAAAAGGTAAAAAACTCCTATAATTACGTAAAACGTCATCGGACAGCTGAACTAATTTCCCACCGTCCATAGCGCCACGCTACGGAGAGATTTCTATCGTCTGGACAGTATTATATACAGGGTTCCTACGCACCTGGAAAGTCAGGGAAAATCAGGGAAAGTCAGGGATTTTCATTATTTTTTGAAAAAGTCAGGGAAAGTCAGGGAATTTGTCAAAAATTATCAAAAAGTCAGGGAATTTGTCGAAAATTGTCAAACAGTCAGGGAATTTGTCTCCTTAACTGCGTTGTTGATTTGGTTTGCTGAATATAGATGACCAATCATAGCCATACGCAGGCGGCAAGAAGTAATGCTGCAATCTTTAAAACCCGAGATAACTCGGGAAAGTTCCATAGCGTTATATAAAACTCGGGCATTTGGGCCCTCCGAAAAAATTTTTGTTTTTTTTGGATGTTTTTTAAGTCTCCAAATTTTTTCAAAAATTTTTTCCCGCGCGAAAATATTTTATCGCGATTTTAATATACCTTTAATGACGCACGATTAACTCTTAATTGTTTTTTAATGGGAGTTTTTTTATCAAATTTCATTCATCGTTCTAAAGTAGTAGTGCACGGATTTTACTTCGATAAAGTTATTTAAAGCTAGTTTCTGATGTCAAAAACGACCTCCAATAGTTTTTTAATTTTTTTAAATTAATATATTTTATTATATATACGTTTAATTAAGTCGGGGGGTCGGAAATCGCAATAAAAAAACGTAATTTTTGAAAAATATTTAAAAATATACAGCCAGCTAGTATTCACTCTACTTTAAACCCTTCTCCTCCCGAGACTTCTATNTAAATTAGGTACCGTAAGTCTAATACAGTACTGTAATTTTATGCATTTCATGTGAAAGAAACATTTCTTATTCAACGGCGATAAAAATTATTTATATTAATGATGTCTCCGAAGTTCAACGAAGTTTTCGCAGAAAAATAAGTTATCAGAAATCGGTTGTGGTTTGGTGTGCTGCTTTGCAACGAAAACAAGCTTTAGCAATGGTGATGTAGAATGGTGCATACTCGGTAAGTAATCCTACAATTTTTTGTTTATAGCATAGTTTATACAGATTATTCCCAAAAAAAATATATGTATTTTAGAAATGTTGAGTCGGATTAGTCTAGAATCGATTAATTTTATGGAAGAAAACCTTTCAATCAGCCGNTCCTACAATTTTTTGTTTATAGCATAGTTTATACAGATTATTCCCAAAAAAAATATATGTATTTTAGAAATGTTGAGTCGGATTAGTCTAGAATCGATTAATTTTATGGAAGAAAACCTTTCAATCAGCCGTAGTCCGTAAACTTGACACTTGTCGGGCTGTGATTGGAAGGACTCATAAGAAATCGGATTCCTAAAGAATGGAACATATCTCTATCTTATAGGGGGGTCGACTGTAATAAGGTAAAAATAAAAATAACATAAAAATAAGGCCACAACAAGGAAAAAGCAGGATGACCTACAGGGATTAATGCATATTATTGTAAAAAGATTTTCATGTAGTGGACAATGTGTCTGCATCTCTATGATTAATGCAACCTGTTCTCATATGTGCCTTGTATATCTCTTGTCTCTCGAGATGCCTCACTGCATGTCTTTTGGTTGCAGTTCTGATAATGGATGCTTGATCCCAAAAGACGTTAACCTCTTGCTATTTGGCAAATGATGCTAGAACAATACTATCCAGGCTCTTATTAATGGAGTAATTTATAAGTAATCCTTGTGCGCATTTTATTTTGTATTTACACTCATGCAATTCCTGTTTTGATTTTTCATATTTATTCCATACGTTCTATTTTAATGTTTTTTTTTTTTTTTTTATGTTTGATTAACTGATGAAGACTGTTAAAAATGGTCAAAAACCTTTTTAAGTTATTAAATATTTATTACTGGATAGATAAAGGTGGGAGTTATTTTGAATATTTTCATATTAATAAACAGTTTTTTATGATTAAAATTCTTAAAACATATTTTAATATAAAGTGCAGGACAGTTTCTTTATAGATATTATAATGAGTCATGAACATTAGTGTATAATTTGAAAGTCCGTGCATATTTATCTTTTAAACAAGACACTTTATGTTTGTCTTTGTAATATTTATTGTATTAATTTCATATGATTTAAAATATACTTAATATGTCAGCAGTTTGTTTATTACAAACTGCTGACATATTAAGTATATTTTAAATCATATGAAATTAATACAATAAATATTACAAAGACAAACATAAAGTGTCTTGTTTAAAAGATAAATATGCAGTCTCTAACGAACAAAATTCGGA